TGTTTGGTAAAGATTAAAATCAAATTTTTAGTAAATTTTGATCAAAGTTTAACAGTTATGGATTCCATGAAATATATTATTAAAATTAATTGCTAACTTTGATTTAAATTTAAATTTAAATTTCAATCGATAACAAACGTGATTTTAAAAAAAAAAATCTCAAAAGTTGGGGGCACCTGCCCCCTAGGACCCTCCTTGGGTCTGCCCCTGAAAATGGGTGTGATATGTTTAATTCATCTACCTACAACTACAACAATATTCTATTCAGGTCATTTGTGAACTCGAACGAACCTGTCAAAAAATATGTTTCAAGTTAAGCATGCACCATCTTTCAAATACAAGGATCATGTCGACACACAGACACATCAATATTGTGGTTTGAAAAAATTAATCTTTTAATTCAAATACAAGGATCATGTCGACACACAAATACATCAAAATTGTGGTTTCATAAAATTATTCTTTTAAATATCATTTCAATAGTCAGATGATAAAATTATTCTTTTAGAGCTTATTTGGTAGAGATTAAAATTAGATTAAAATTGAAAAATTAATCGTTATTGTTGACTTTTATTAGATGAGTGGGACCCAAAAAGGGCTATATTTTCAATTTTAATTGGATTAAAATTCCTCCCAAACAAACTCTTAAAAATCAAGTGTACCCCTACCTCATCCCACCCCATTCTAACTCGACGCCATTTCCACCGAAAAAATACTCAAGCAAACGGCCATCATTCCAAATTCCAAACCCCAAATTTCCACACCCCATGAACGTCAGTTGTCATCGTCACCTTCCCTTCTGGCAACAGGCTCTTCTCGTCATCTCGTCGTCGCCGCCATCTCTACACAACTTGTTTTTCTTGCCATCCCAACTGAGATAGACAAAACTCGCTATCGTGAGAGAAGATGACGACGAGCAACTAGTTGTATCGTTCTAGTGTTGATGATGGTGGTGAGTTGGAGATTTGAGGTGATGATAGTCAGATGGCTACATATTTGGAGGTCTTCTTTTGTTGTAGATTAGGTATAGGTGAAGTTGGTAGTTGTGGTTGAGGTCCAAGTGGTGTATCGGTGGTGTGATGGAGGTGGAGGTGGAGGTGGTGAATGTGGTGGTGAGTTGTGAATTTGATGTGGCATGACGTTTTGGATAGTGCCTACGGTAGTGTAGTGGTGGTTGGGTGGAGTAGAGTGGGCTAAAGTACGATTTTGACTAATTAATTGGATAATAGTGACTAATAAAATGGATAATCTTATATCAATAAATAATTTGTGACCTATAAAAATATGAATTTTACGACTAAATTTATAACTGTGGTCTACAATTTATGTCTCTGTAATTGTGGCTTTATTTGATATGTAACTAGTACGTGATCGTGATCATAAAATTGCGTGTTCTTGTGACATCATCCTGTTTAATTAATTATTAAGTCATAAGATTTTTATCAGGTGATCGCTAATAATTGAGCTAAACCCGGTTAGCCTTTGCGGATTGTCAAGCTAGACAATAAAATCCAGCACAACCCATTTATTATTGTGGGCCAACTTGTAAATCGTATCAAGCTAATTTCAATGTGACTTTTTAGAGTTCTTCTGCATGTACAGGGTAGCGATTCACACAGAACTGATGACCTTGACCTATGATTCCCTTATTGTTATAACAAACAAATTATATTTTACTCTAACCAATAGTATTCAAGTATTTTAGAGTGATCATTGCAATATCATTGAAGACGCAAAAGATCACGAAAGTTACAATTCGACAAATCAACATAGAAACAAGCTTGACAAAAGAAGGGACGTAAAGACGAAGGTCAAGAGCTCACGAAAAAATAGTTGAATGTCAAATATCGAGATGTTAAACGTAGATACCTTGAATATGTGTAAAGGTAAAATACTTCAATATTTGGCAATTGATCATTAAAAGCTCAAAACAGTTTTTTAGGTACAAACCATTTTTCAAAGATACAAATTGATTGCATAAAAATTATTTTCACTCGATGTATAAATTTTTACTTAATCACTTACCTTGAAAATATTAAATGAAGTAGTCCTTCAAAAGCCTACATTGATCAAATTGTCACAAATGAGACCGTTCGAGGGCAAATTATGCCCAACAGGACGTCCGGATGTGCAACGGTCAAATTTTTTGACCGTTGCAAACTCGAAAGTCTGGATGCCTTGTCCGGATAGACAAAGCTTTGGCCGGTTTGAGTGTTATAAATATCTCATCACTATTCACTTAAAAGAAAAAACCTTTTTTTAGCATTAAAGTGAAGCTTTAATTGATCCCAACAACCTTATTTTCT